AAAAATCAGGTATTAATTTTATTTTATTTTATTTATTTATTTTTTTTGAGTTTTAGTAATATACAGTCATCCCTCATTAATGTCGACTGTTTGATTCGCTTTTATATTCATGTTGTTAGTGATATTAATAAGGGAACATATTAAAGTTGACATATATGAGGGAATCTCAATATCATTTTAATATATAGAAATTCATTTTATGGCGTAGGTTTATATTAATGGGTTGATATTAATGAGGAACGACTATACATAGTTAATTCACATAGTAATCTTAACAAAACGTTATCGTTAAAACATTAAGCCATATTTTCTTTTACATAATTATCCTTCTATTTTATAGTTTAGCAGCTCTTTGTTAATCCTTTTTTTTTTTTTTTTTTTTGCTAATCCCATTTTACCAAATCAGGTGTAAATTTAAAGACCCCGGCTAACCTTCCTTGGCTAATTGAATCTAAAGCTAATAAATTGAGCACTAAACCCACGTTTCTAAATGAAGCCCCAACTGGTGAATTGAGCGCTAGAACTACGATCCTGAATGAAACTCCAACTAATGAACCAAACTTTGAAACTACAATCCAAAACACACCTCTGACTAGTGAATCGAGTGCCAAAATTACAGCCCAACCTGAAACTCTAACTGATGAATCAGGTATCAAAACCACAACCCAAAAGATTGCCACATGGGTCAAAAGCAGTAGAAGAAGGAAAACAACGACTACAAAACCTTACCTTAGAACAAAAGAACATACAAAAGTTACTAATCTTGCAAAAAATGCATTAAGACAAAAGCAAAATAATGATACTCCTGATTCATCCGCATCTTAAACATCTTTTATTTCAAACAAATTTTTTTTTTTGAAAAAATTGTTAGCATTACTTTTTTATTATTTTTTAAAAATTGTTAACAATTCTATTACTATATAAATTACTAAACGCGAATAAATATACATACATTCTTTATCCTATTGAATTCTATTTTACAGTTAAACTTTAAACATTTGTTTTTCATTACCATATTCGCCCGTAATAATGCCTCTCTGCGCATTATTTTGAAGCACGCATGTGCTTTGGTTTTTGTCAAAATGTAAATTTTCGAACTCATGGGCTTATTAAATAGCCAAGTTATTAATGGGTTTTAAACTCAAAATCATATACGTATATACATATGTGCTTAATAGAAATTCTATACACACTGAAATTAACCAACACCGATGATGATAAATTACTTATTAAACAAATATAAGAAATCATTAAAAATTAAATAAAATAATTATAGAGTAGAGTGTGGAATATACATGGGCATTATTTCAAATAATATAACTAATTTTTTCAAGAAGTCAAAATTCGAATTAATGCCCAACCCACTATTACACACAAATACGGTAATTATTTACACAATGATCATGTATATACCATGTTAACTTACTTATGCCACCACATTTAAATAGAATGATTTTAATTAGTATTAGTGTAGTTATATGTGTTGGTATAAAGTTATTACTATTACTACCTGGTATTTATTTTGATGCAACTTGTACTTTTTCAATATCTCCTATCTGCATTATTATCTTAGTATATATTGGTATAAAGCTCTCATCATTACTGCCTGGTATTTATTTAGATGCAACTTGCACTTTTCCAATATCTCCTGCTTGCATTGTTACCTTAGACATGTATATACTTTATTTAGTCACTATTTTGCTGTGTACTTCTTATTATATACTTAAATTAGCTATTGAATTTTACTTAGCCTTGATTATCTTGTCGAATATTGTCGCTTTATATGTATGTATGCCCGATTTGGCTACATACTTTTTTGCTTTGTTTTTATTACTCGATTCGTACTTATTAACATCCTAAACACGTGTACACTTAAATTAGCCATTAATTGTTGCTTAGCCTTGATCTTACTGTATATTGTCACTTTATATGCATATATTTTTATTCTGGATATTAATCGTTACTTAGCCTGCTTACCAAATATTATATCGCGTACAGTACACTAATATTATAATGCGTAAATCATGATTAATAGATACTATAGATTGTAATTAAGCATGATCAACAAAAAAAAAAAGATAATAAAGATGAAAAATCTTCTATATGCAATAATAACAATAAATATATATTAAAATACTATTTACAGTATATATCGTTTAAATGTATAAAAGGCTTTCTATCTCACTTTTTCAAAAGTTGTTGCTAACTCTTTTATCCTTAAAAAATAAAAAACTTTTCGAATTTATACTTGGCATCCAAAATAACTACCTTATCTATTGATTTTCGATACTAAAATAAAATTTAAATAAGCCCGAT